TCTGAAACGGGGTCGCCCCTCGGCATTCCCCAATGCACTCGCACTTCGTTGATACGACTCCTTTGACTCGTGAGACGGTCCAGTGCTCTCACTCCGGATCTCGAAACGGCAGAGGATTCGCCCCGAAATACAAAGAAGAGGGACCCGGCTCATTGGCCACAAGAAAGGGGTTAGCGGTAGCGGAATACGGGGGCGGGGGGAGGAGACACCATCCGTAAGGGCACCTGATCTCAAGCCAGGCAAAGTGGGGACCGAAGGGAGGCCCAGACTTTACCCGTACGGTGACCACTTGTACACCTAACCCTGAGCCGTACCTCTTAAAATAAAATTAAATCGCCTTCAGTGATGACGTTCCGAAAGCGTCTGGGTTGCTGAAGGCCTTTGAGACGCCGGGAGAGGGGGGCTCCCCGAGAGGGCAGGAGAGTCTGCAAACCTTCCCCTGCCCCTGCCCTGTGCACCTGCTCACCTAGCCCTTTATTTGCATCCTTTGTAATATGCTTTATAATAAACCAGGACGTGGGTTTTTTTTTGTTTTCGTTTTTTTAAAAGAGGGGATTCAGTTTCCCTGGAAATCAAGGAATTTATCAGACCTCGAGTTGGATGTAAAAGACAGCAAAAGTGGCCTCAAATCCAGCCGTGGGGAGACAGTGTGGTGGGGCAGTTCATACGCCGCTGGGCTCTCTCTTGACTGGATGAGTGCTTTTGGGGGGGATTCGGAGTCTCACTCTGTGCCCAGGCTGGAGTTTGGTGGCACGCTCACGGCCACCGTGGCCTCCACCTGCTGGGCTCAGGCCATCCCTCCACCTTAGCCTTCCAAGTAGCTGGAACCACGGGCGTGGGCCACCACGATCGGCTAGACTTTTGACTTATTGCAGAGACAGGGCTCACCAAGTTGCCGGGGCTGGTCTCGAACTCGCGGGCTCAGGCAATCCCCTCACCTCTGCCTCCCAAAGTGCTGGGGCTACAGGCGTGAGCCACTGTGCTCTCCCCAGCCATGTGACATGGGGTGAGTCAGCCGACTGCCCAGTCCTGCTCGGTAAAATGGGGATAAGACGCCACCTTTCGGGGCTGTGGTAGAATGCGGTGACAAACGGTTGGCACTGGGTTAATTGTGGAAGTTAATAATCTAGTATGGATCCTGAATTCATAGCCTTTTCCCCCTTTGTTGGAAGATTTTAAAAATCAAATGCAATTTAATCGATTTAGGACTTTTCAGGTTATCTATTTCTTTGTGTGTGAGGTTTAGCAGTTCATATCTTTCAAGGAATTTGTATCATTTTAGTTTTTGAATGTTCCGGTCCCAGGTACAAAGTTGTTCATCTTCATCCTTTTTTCTTTTTTTCTTTTGGTCATTTTAGTGTCTGGAGGATCGCTTTTTTCCTGATATTTGTCACTTATATATATTGAATCTTGATGTGTTGGCCCCAAACTGCTGCGATCCTTGGCTGCACTGGTTCACTGAGTTTTTTGCAGCCACTTCCTTATAAAGATGCAGGAGGAAGGTTCAGAGAAGCTAGACAACTTGCTGCACATCGTACAGCAGTTGTAGGGAAGGCTGGGCTTTCAACAATCATAACTCTGCCTGTTATTCATGACCTTGGGCACTTTTTTGTTTTTTAGTCTATTGCCAGGCTGGAGTGCAGTGACACACTCATGGTTCACCGCAGCCTCGATCTGGTGGGCCTTCCACCTCAGCCTCGAATCCTGAGTAACTGAGACTATAGGCACATACCATACCACACCTGTCCTTTTTTTTTTTTAATTTTTGAAGAGGCGAGATTTTGTTATGTTGCCCAGGCTGGTCTCAAACTCCTGGGTTCAAGCAGTTCTCCCGCCTCAGCCTCCCAAGTGCTGGGATGTCAGGTGTGAGCCACCATATCCCGTCCTGTTTCTTAACCTCTCCCAGCCTCACCTGCCCAGAGCGTGAGAGGATAGCAGTGCCTAGGTCTCGGGTTGCTGGGGGAATTAAAAGAGATAAATGTAAAGTGTTTGATGCTTGCACATAGCAGTGCCGACTCAAGAAATGTCAGCTGTTATGGTTCTCAAACTAGCTTATGTTAGAATCACCTGGAAGGCTTGTTGAGCACACACAGTACTGGGCTCTGCCCTCTGGATTCAGGAGGGCCAGGGTGGCCTGAGGACCGGCATTAGTTAGGATTAGAATTTGCATTTCTACCAAATTCCCAGACGTGAATTTTAGATTCAAGGGTACATGTGCATGTTTGTTACATGCATATACTGTATAATAACGAGCTTTAGGCTTCACTCATCACCCAAATGAACATCACGCCCAACAGCTCATGTTTGAACCCTCACCCATGAGCCTTTTACTGCAGTAAACAGCCAGTGAAAGGGAATTTTCCAGAGACCCTAAAAAATTCATGGCGAGGATGGATCCTCCTTTTCCAGACAGAAACACTTAGCTAAGATTAGCCTGAAGTCCTGAAGTGGCTCTGAGAATGTGGATTTCCAGACAGAGTAATGCTCCCCACTCCGGGAGCTTTGTTTTTTTTTAAAAAAAAAGCACACTCTAGGTCCCACCCCAGTTGCAGTAGGTCTGAGGAGGGGCTTGGGAATCCAGATATGGAAAGAGGCCCCAGGTGACTGTAATGTCCACTGGAGAGGAGAGGACAGCCGCCAGAAGGGGTCGTTCTGAGGCCTATGCCCAGGGATGGGAGAACAGTGCGCCTGCCAGACTCAGGTGGCTGTGAAGGAATCAGGCCCCAGCAGGCCACGGTCATGGGGCCTCCCTCTGCAGGTGAACAGCAGACCTGAGGCTGATCTGAGAGGCAGCCATGAGCCCACCTGGAACACATGAGCACCAGTCAGTTAGTGACTCACCCTGTGACCCTGGCAAGTCCCTAAAATAAGGCAGTTGTATTAGAGTAGGGACTCTCAACCATTTTGGGTTATAGGCCCCCCCCCCCCAGCGAGGTGAGGAGTAGATCCTCTTCTGGGAAAAGGAGATCATCACACCAAAATGTGCTCGAACTTTCTGAGGGCAACAGAGCTCTGGGGCTTGGCTGTGGACCCCTCAGTGTCCTGGGTGTAGATTAAGAAAAATGAGAGGTATGGCTGAACATCTATGTAATGCCCCAGGCTGTTCTGGACATGTATGAACACAATTCCTCCTTGCAATCACCCTGTAAGATGGAAGCCACTGTCACCTCCGTTCGGTCAATGAGCACACAGCAGCAAGAAGCGGGCTCAAAGTCACACAGCCAGGAAGTGGTGGAGCGGTCTGCAGACTTGGACAGCCGGACTCGAAGGGCTTCTGTCTTCCCTCCGTCCTGCCTTTCCATCCTGGACTGGTGGTCTCCCAGGGCTCAAAGGGTCCCATGCTGGCAAAGAACCACAGTCTTCAGCCCCTCCCCTACTGCCCCAAGTGAAGGGAGTGTTTTCTGGGGCTCCCCTGGCAGGTTGTCCTCCACTCCCTGGAAGCTGGACTGGAGTCCTGGGGTGGAAGGTGCTGAGAAGGGGTCCCACAGCTGGGTTCATCCACACCCCATACCTCGGGGACCCCAGCTCACCTTCCCACAGGGGTCCCAACCTCAGCTGCATGACCTCCCTCCCAAACGGGGCCGTCCAGCCACGAGGGGATGAACCCCAGGGACCACGGGCACAGTCCCGGAGCCTGGCAAGCCTGACTGTGCTTCATCTACTGCAGGTTGCTGGAGGAGAACCAGCAAGCCCAGCGAGCCAGGGAGGTGGAGACGCTTCGCCAGGAGCACCGGAAAGAGATGCAGGCCATGGTGGCGGATTTCAGCAGTGCTCAGGCCCAGCTCCAGGCCCGGCTGGCTGCCCTGGAGGCCGAGTAAGGGAGGCCCAGGGTCCAGGCTGGGAGGGACTAGTAGATGTTGCCAGTGGTCAGGGTAACCAGCTCATCCCAAGGTCCCTGCATTTCCCCGGTGTTAAAACGGAAGGTCCTGAGTTCTAGGAAGCCCCTCAGTCCCAGGCAAGCTAGGATGGCTGGTCACCCTTCCCCTTACAAGGCCCTTCTGTGCAGGACCTGGGAATCTGTGAGAATGAGCACCGTCTCATGGGCATGAGTTAGCCCTCATGCTTGAAACCGGAAGGAATAGGGTTACCCTTTTATGAGCATTATCTCTGCTCTAATATGTAGCATCTTGTTTAGTCTTCACAAATACTTCAAGGCAGAAACTGTGATTCCCACTGTCAGATAAAGAAAGTGAGGGTCCCTGTTGCATGAATATTGCATCTACTCATTCACAAACATCTGTTGAGGACCTACTGTGTGCCCTGCAGTTTCGGCTCTGGAGTTACAGTGGGGAACAAAGCAAAGACCATGCTCATAGTACTCACAAATCCTGAATGGGGATTCAGATGAGAAATAAGCGAACAGATCACTTTATATCTAGTGGTGAAAGGGCTAGAAGACAGGATTGGGGAGTCACAAGGGTGGGCAAAGAAGGCCTCGCAGAGGTGATGTTTAAGTACACAGAAGAGAGGACATGCATGAGCTAGCTGGAGGGAGAGCATTCCAAGCAGATGGTGCAGCAAGTGCAAAGGCGCTGAGCTCTGCCTGGGAGGGTTAAAAACAGCCAGAAGACTGAATAGAGTGAGCGAGAGGGTGACGCGGTAGGAAATGAGGTGCGTGGAAGGGACCCTGTCCTGACGGGAAGGAGTTTGGATGTGTCCAGAGTGCCCTCGGAAGGCACTGCAAGGCTTTGGGCAGGACAGGCCTGGTTTACCTTTTCACAGGGTCACTTCTGGTTGATGAGAAGACAAAATATCAGGGGAGGGGTGGTGGGCAGGGAGATCACTTAGGGGGTGATCGAAAGACCCCAGGTTCAGGCAAGTGAAGCCACTTGCCCAAGGTCAGGCAGCACTAAGTGAATTTAGAAGTCACCTGTCCGGCTCTTAGCCCGAACTCGACAATGGTTCTTAACTATCTCTAAAACAAAGAAAATCATTCGAAAACTGTAGGAAGAGTTTTGCCCACTGACTTCTAACGGGCACTCACAGTATGCCAGGTGCCCATTATCCCACAGCATCCTCACAATCCACCCAGTGTCATGCCCACTTTAAGAGGAGGGGGCTGAGGCTCACAGGTGAAATGCTGTCCCTCAGGTCGCGTAGCTAGAAAAAAAAGCAGAGCCAGGATCAGAGCCCAAATCATCTCATCCCAAAACCCGGGCCTCTCACCCGCCGCATTCGGTAGGTCCCC